TTACGCTATTTGTGAAAGATATATAAAAATTTAATACATATATAAAGGTAATTTGTGTGTATATTTATAAGTTTATACACATACTAGTTTAGTACCTGTCCGATGGACGGGTTATCTTTATTTAAAATAAAATTAAAAATAAAATTTATTATAACTTATAGAAAAATAATTTTCAAATTTTCTTTTGAAAAATAAGAGAAATTAATTTCATTTGGAAAGATATTTTATTAGGTTTGAAGTATCAAATAAACGTGTATATATATCTCTTAAAATTCGTTATTAAACGTTAATTATAAAAATCTAGTAATGTCAAATTGACAATCACCAAAACATTTGAGAGCTATTTGGGAGCTATTCACCATTACTCATAATATTTCTAAAATATTTTTAAAAATCTTAATTTAGCAATTATCCTCTAAAACATGATTATACCATTTTGTAAAAAAAATTATTTCTTAACTTTAAATTTTTCAAAATATCATTCTCAGACTAAGAAAATTATTTAATTATTATTTAATATGATGGTAAAGTTCTTTCAAATTAACATCAATCTAAAATATGATGTTAAATACAAATATAGTCATTTGTAAATAAATTCATATAAACAACGCAAATAAACATAAAGATTCTAAAATAACTTATAGCACTGTTGAGGAAAACATTAAAAAATCTTTCAAATAGGAATTATAAAAAAACTACATGTTTTCTTTAAAAATATTTTAAAATTACTATATTACGATTTATATTGAAGTTTGTTATCTTTAATTTAAGCGAAAAATATTATTTTCGAAAATATTTTATTCGCCCTTATGTTTTAGACAATGAAATTTCTCAATGGCATAATATATTCATACATAAATTAAAAATTAAACAAATATAACATATTATAAAATAAAATCATGAATAAAATTATGTATTTAGTTAAACTCAAAATCTAATTTATTTGTAAATTGTAAATCCTAATTCTCCTTTATGAACCCAAACTGATAAATAACCTTGTTTAATTGTAAAACCTAAATCTCACTCCTCTTTAATAAACCCAAACCGATAAATAATCTCGTTTAATTATAAAATCTAAAATATAATGCAGATTTAAAACTCAACATATAACCCTTATAATTGTAAAGCCTACAACTGGCAAAATCAAAATTTAGGTTAATAGTTGAAAGAGGTTTTTGAGAAATACCCCTTTTGGTGTACCCCTTTTTAAAAATTCACCAATTTTCTATCCATTTTAAAAATATCCCTTTTTAAATATGAAAAATTGTAAACTTTTATATAGTTTATACTTTATAAGGTACATCTAGATCATCATTACTATTGGGAGACTCAATACAAATATTTATAAAGTTTTAAAAAGGTTCTAAACGGAATTTATAAGACTTTTATAAGGTTTTTATAAGGTTTAAAAAGTTTTTATATGTTTTTTAAATAATTTTAAAACGTTTTTAAAAGGTATATATATGGTATTTAAATTTACACACATAGGAAGATAATTTGTGTCTAAATATATAAGCTTACACATTTTTTTTTTATAAATATCAATTTTTTACTTTATAATTATCAAAAATCCTTTTTCCATACCACTTTTTTAAAATACCCCTATTAAAAACCACTTTAAATGTTGAAATTTATCCAAATATGTATGAAAACTTATAAATATACACACAAACTACCTTTATATATGTTTAAATTTTTATATATCTTTCATAAATTATAAATAGCGTAAAATAACTTATAAATACCTTTTAAAAACCTTATAAACCCTTTTAAAAACCACTTACAACCTTATAAAACTTGTAAAAACGATTTAAAACCTTTTAAAACATTAAAAAATATTTGTATTAAATTTCCAAGTAGTAGTTATAATATATAAGTATCTTATAAACCATATAAAACTTTATAATTTTTCATATTTAAACATGGATATTTCTGAAAATGGATGGATAAAGGATCTATTTTTGTAAAGGTGTACACCAAAAGGGGTATTTCTCAAAAATTCTCTTTATTTTTTAATAATTATTTTTTAATGCTGTTTAAAAATTCTATTTATATCTTAATATTAACAAAATTAGATATAACATGTTGCGACATTTTATATTTTTACTTGACACTTATCATGATCACGTGAGTTAGTAAATTTAAAAACCAAGTTTTGACATATAATCTCGTTTAATTGTTAAACTTAAACCACAATTTTAATTTATAAAGATAAACCATAATTCTTATTGTAACGCCCGTGTCTGGAAATTCGGGTGGTGTCGATCGACACTGTGGTCGGGTGTCGATCGACACTAGTAATTTTGGTTTGACGGTTTAAGTTTTTAAATCGTCGGTTCAATGGAGGCTTGGTTTGGGTTGGTTAACCCTAGGTCGTGCTTAAAAGAGGGAAGGTCGTGTGTTGTCTCTTCCCAGCCGCTTTTTAACACTTCCAGAGATAGAAAAAAAAAGGTTCTAGAGCTTCTGAGGGTTTTTGTGAGTCTTTGGTGGTGCTTGGTGGTGTTCTTGGTGGTTTAAGGCTAGTAGAGGCTAGATCAGTGTTGTGTGGTGTTAGAGGAGACAGATCCTTCCTTGTTCTTCCTTGTTTTCGTTGTTGTTCTTCTTGTTTAAAGAGGTAAAAGCAAAGTGTGATCCGTGGAATCATGGCGAGGAGAGGAGGATGATCTAGGCGCTCATTGGTGTTTAGATGATTGTAGGATTTGTTAGGATGCTAGAATGGAATTTAGAAGCATGTTAGGATGAATTCGTTTCTGGAATA